TTTTTTTCATTTGACACCAATATTAAAATTAATGTCAATTTTGACATTTTTTCATATATCTTTATGATAAAAAAAGTATTTTTAAAGGCACAACTTAAATTTTTTTTAAATAATTGTCCTTTAACAGGATTTATTATTAGATTTATCTATTTTGTACTCTTAAAAAACAGAATAAGAATATTAATTATATAATAATTATCATTTTTTGTCTTAAAAAATAAATTAACTTTTTATTTTAATTATAAATGTCATGTGTTAGATTTTTATTGATTAATTTTAAATTAAAAATAAGAAGTTATTTTTTAATATAAAATTTTATTTTAAAAAAATTATAATTATTACATAATAATAACTTCTTATTGTATCATCAAAATACGTCTTTAATATAATTTTAATTTGTGTTTTAAGAGCACACTTAGACAAATCTTTATTATTAAATTGTTTGATTTTTTTTCTTCTTTGTTTGATTTGGTTTGAGTAAATGACATTATTGGACAAGTCATCAAGGCATTTAATGAAGTTGGTTTTGGTAGAAGTATTGAGGTTTCGAAAAGTCATTTTTGACTTTATAAGATTTAGGCATGAATACTTGAGCCAATATGTGGGCTCATCGCTTTGAATTTAATTGGGTAGAAGGCCAAACCACTAAAATATCCAGTTGGAGAAGTACGATAATATAATCTCATCTTGTTAATAGTTATACTATCTATTAGTTTACATGCTTTATTTATTTGTTCTTTAGGTAATACTCTATCTATCCTCATTCATCAAGTTGTATGTTTACTGTATAAACACTCAATTCTCCTTTCCGACCTTATATGTGATGTGATTCCTCTTTTCCTTTTTAAGACTTTTGAGGGGTGTTTTTACTCAATTTCTTTTAGATATATTGGATTATATTGGGGTGGGGTTAGCTTATAAGGATATTGGATTGTCGGGTAACTTATTATTATTATTATTATTATATAATGAAAGACACGTTGCTTTATTTTTAATATAATTCATTTATTTATTGTGCGATTTAAATTAAAAAATTATTATTTTTATTAAAAAAAATTATTAAGATTGTGATGTATTTAATTCTTTTAAGATTTTAATAGGGTGAGGGTAACTCATCCCCTTCCCAAATTGACTTCGAATTTTTTTATTTAGTTTAACTATTTTAATATAGTTTATAATTAATATATTGGACAGTTGATAATTTATAATTAATATATTCCACAGTTGATAATGAAAGTAAACTAGCATTTTTAGGAGTAATGCAACAATATCTACTCTATGAAATACTATTCAATTTTATTTTCCGGCGAGTTAATTGCAAATTGAATGCATTAGTTGTTGCCTTTGGTGAGCATTAAATTTTGAAATTCAATGCCCCCTATTTTCCACGAAAGAACAAAAATGAATTTCTAAAATAAATGTTCTACTTCGGTTTCTCAGACTGCAATGCCAAAGCGAGGGGTAAGTATTTAAATGCACCATAAATTTCTATATGCAAACATTTAATGCCATTTGAATCTCTTATGGAGTAAGTCAATAGACTCACATCACTGCTCATATACTAATATTTAATTTATCTTCAAACTTTGACAATATATGTACACTCTCTTTCTGTTTTACAAGCGACTAATCCGATCCTCACGCAATTAAACAACGAAAACTTAATGAGATTGAGACATGGTTTTGCTCCAAATCTTGCAACTTGATCGATAAGGTTTATGATCATACATATCTCTTTTCTTTACAAGAGCGTTACGACTTTCACCTTTAATTAAATTGAGTGTGTTGGTATAATATGTATAGAGATTAACGTGTATCAACTTGTATCGTAGAAAACTAAATGAAAATATATTTTAAAATCTCATCATTTTAATAAAGTATATTATAAGAAAATATTAGAATGACCTCATTTTTTAAAAAAAATTAAGATATTTTAATTTTTTTAATAAAAATTTATTAAAATGATATAATTTTATGATATTTTTTTACTTAATTTTTTGTAATATAGATCAATGCCTACTTTTTTTATGTATAAATATTCATTTATATATAGAATAAGGATTCATTTACACGCATATTTTATATATTATATTTATATAAAATTTTAATAATTTATCTTTTTACTTATAATAATTGAGATTTATTCATATTTATAATAATTGAGATTTATTCATATTTATTAACAATAATTATTTTTT